CTTCCCAATCCCTGCCGCTCGCTTGCCTCACTTTGAGCTTTCATGGTATTTTACTTTGGTCCAGGGAAGATTAAATGGGTTGAAATGTTGCAGTTGGGTACTTTCTAGATGAGACCCCCTTTGCCTGTGGGATTGACTTTCCAGGGAGCCCCTTCTGGAGAGACTTGGGAGAGCACCTTGGAAAGGGAAGTTAGCTAGGACACTGCCCTCCTCTTCAGACTGAGGGCTGGAGCTCCCTCCTGCCCAGACCCTGGCTGAGAGCAGTGACCAGCACCCACTCAGCCACATACTCCAAGGGTGGTGATCCAGCTGTGTGGCTTCAGGAAGGTTAATCCTCAGTGTTAATCCGTTTAGGTAAAGCTGTTAGTTCAAAGGTAATCTGTTTTAGCCTCCCCTTTCCAATTCTCTTTCTTCTGCCAGAGGAGAGGGAGTTCAAGTCTTCTTTCCAGGACTCCTGTGTTCTGGCAGAGACTGATTCTTCATCGTGGCCTTGGGAGAAAAGCTGCCTAACCAGTTCTGGGCCCTGGTTAGTTGAAACCCTGGTTGTTGACAGTGCACGCAGGTAGGAGCTGAGGAGCAACACAAAGCTGGAGAGGGTGACAGCATTTGCCAAAATTACTGCTGGGGGTCCCCACCCCCCTAAACATCTCCCCCCAGCCCCCACCCCCAGCTAGGTTTCAGTTTCTGCAGCGGTTATGCGGCTTTCTCTTAATCCTTTTTTTAAATGTTGGTCTCTACTTTAGCACTCAAGGAAACTGCTCCACAAGGATTGTTTTAGTGGGTTTTTAATTTTTTTAATGTTCTTGTTTATTTAAATCGCCTGAACAAGGGTTTGGCCGTATGGGGCGAGTTCGTGCCTTTACCATACTCGCGTCCACTGGCGTGGACACAGTGCTTACCCACGGGCACAAAGCTTCTGTACCCCCTCCACAAACCCCGCACCCCACCCCTGCCAACCTCCCCTCTGCTGCTGGCCGGCTGTGGCCTGGTCTCTATTCCACTCCACCACCTAACCCCCCCCCATCCTCCAAAGCCCCAAACAGACCAAAAAAAAAAAAAAAGCAGCAGAATTGCTTGCTTGCACGAAAGGGCTCTTGCCTTTGAGGGGAGCTCTCTAGGCACCTAATTTCTCTTAGATTTCTTTCTGTCCTCAGAGGTCCCCAAAGGTACTTGTAGAATGTTTGCCGTTAAACGGCTGTAAATTAGGGGCTGAGTGTATGAAGCGTTAATGAAGGCTGCGATTGGAACCAGTCCACATCCCTGGCTGGCAGGTTTGCTGGCCAAGAAGTCGCCTGCCCGGAGGCCTCAGTTCCTGAGTGTCGGGTTTCAGCTCTCCTTTCTTCTCTCTTTTTTTTCATCTTTTCTTCTGTAGCTGTTTTCTTTTTTTTTTTTTTCACCCTTCTTTCCTTATCATCCATCTCTTTCCTTCCTTCTTCCAAACCCACTCCACCCATACCCCTTTGGACTTTTTCTAAAAGCAACCATGAGGAACAGAGTGGGAATAATGAGGCTAGAGAAGCAGTATTTCTTTCTTTTCCTGCAGAAATTTTTTTTTTTTCCTATTTTTCTTTTTTTGTGTGTTTGCTTCATTTCTTTCTCGTTAAGCCAAGGTCAGAACTGATGCTTGCAAAAGAAAGGAATGTTGAATAACTGCCCGAGTTCAACAAAATGTAGAGAGAAATTTCAGGTCTGTCCCACGTATTAAAAAATTAGAGCAGAATAACGCAGCTTTGTTGTCCTGGAGGGCCTGGCCAGATATAGCTAGGGGACCATCACGGTGCTGATGTATTTAACCTGGGTAAGGGGTAGTCTTCTACCCCTTTAAGCAACTTAAGTCACTTTAAGCAACTCCATTATGTGGAAATAGGGATCCATACAAGTAGATACAAAAAGATTCATGCATTTTCAAAAAACGTCCTTGCATAAGTCAATGTAATATGTGTTTTTAAGCTGCAGTGTGTAAGCCGTGCAAGGTGCTGGGTTCTTTTTAGATAACGAACTTCTGAGTTTGTTTAAGGTGTGATTACCTTTACCAAAGATCCATTTCTATGCAAATAGAATATTTATAACAAATTGTGTGAACACCTGCATATTCTACTTCCCTGGGTTCGTAGTTCGCAGCGTTTTCCTAGAGACATCTACTCTAGACATTTTGAGTTTTAAGTCTGGTGTGCTTTTCAGTTTAGTAACTTTGAATTGTACCTATGAAATAATAACAAATAATAATTTTAAGCACCCACTGTTTGCCAGACATAGTGCAAGACACTTTCTACCTTATTTCATTTATTTCTATAATCATGCTCATTTTAGAAATGAGGAAACTAAGGTTTATAGAGGTTGTATAAATTGTTCTAGACCAGGGGTCCTCAAACTTTTTAAACAGAGGGCCAGTTCACTGTCCCTCAGACCGTTGGAGGGCCGGACTGTAGTTTAAAAAAAACTGTGAACAAATTCCTACGCACACTGCACATCTCTTATTTTGAAGTAAAAAAACAAACGGGCAAGAACACCGGCATGTGGCCCGCGGGCCGTAGTTTGAGGACGGCCTGTAATCTAGACCACACACTCATTTGGTTGCTGCACACCTGTGTATCATCACAACTGTACAGGGGTCCCTTTACTCTAAGGTTTACAATCTGAAGTCCCTTCCCCCAGATAGTCATTCATTCATGCATTCAGCAGTCGCCTACTATATGCCCTGCCATTCAGGCCAGCACTCAGTGATGCCTGCTGGTCACAGGATCTGGTGACTGAGACTTAACAAATCAGGACTGGACATGGCCTTTCATTCTGTTCTGTGAGCCGTTGCTTATGCTATCCACTTATTACAGTGGCATCTATATGTAATAAGTAACTTATCAAAATAGTCATAAAGGACTTGGCAGACAAAATGAACTATGGGAGAAGACTGCATTCCATTTTAATAGGAAGAATTCTTAGTAATAAGTAGGAAATGCACCTTGGTGTAGAGATGAGTCATTCATTCGAGGCTTTTCCTAAGACCTTCTTGTATCAGGCACTGATTTTTTTTTTTTTTTTTTTTTGCTTTTGAAATACTGCATTTTTAGACAAGGTACATTTAAAATGTCTCCCTCTTGGGCCGGGCGCGGTGGCTCACGCCTGTAATCCTAGCTCTCTGGGAGGCCGAGGCGGGCGGATTGCTCAAGGTCAGGAGTTCAAAACCAGCCTGAGCAAGAGCGAGACCCTGTCTCTACTATAAATAGAAAGAAATTAATTGGCCAACTGATATGTATATAAAAAAATTAGCCGGGCATGGTGGCGCATGCCTGTAGTCCCAGCTACTCGGGAGGCTGAGGCAGAAGGATCTCTCGAGCCCAGGAGTTTGAGGTTGCTGTGAGCTAGGCTGACGCCACGGCACTCACTCTAGCCTGGACAACAAAGCGAGACTCTGTCTCAAAAAAAAAAATAAATAAAAATAAAATGTCTCCCTCTGTTTTCCAAGTAAATAATGAAACAAAAATAAAGAATGGAACTAGAAAAGACAAACATCTTCCTTTAGTCCACAGAAGCAGAGAACCTTCTATGTATCGAGCACTGTGTTCCAGGTGGAGAAGACACCAGTGATCACCTCGTAGACCCTGGGGACTTGTGTTCACACACAAGGAAGCAGCCCCAGTCTTGTGCATTACATGCTGTGATGGGGATATGGACAGAGTGTCACGGGAATGTTTAGGAGGGCACCTCACTGGCTTGGTGACAGTGAGGTGGTCACAGAAGTTTCTTCTACAGAGAGGACACTAGGTGAGGGGGTCGGGTGGTAAGGGGCAAAGGGGAGCAGAGTGGTAGAAGAACATTTTTGTTAACATGCTTTTTTGGTTTTGACAAAATGTGACTTTTTGTCCTCTAAAATTCTATGGCAGAGCTTCCAGGACTATAATAGGGGTTAAGGTGTTCTAAAGCAGAGGAACAAACCTTTTAGCAGGGGTGGCCTAGTGAGTTTAACCTCTGTAGGACTCCTGTAGAGGAGGCACTTCTGTGGGGAGAACAGGGACCTTTTTATGGAGGCAAGAGACACTGGCTCCCCTAACTCTGCTGATGGGTTTTACTCTGCTTTCTGAGAAGGAATAATACCATCCCGGTAATTCCAACTCCGGTGTTTAAAATGTTTGGTGATTTGTGATGCCTTAAAAAGCAGCTGAACAAGCATATAAATAATATAACTATTAACACACATATATAAAGAATTTAAATGTGTAGAGTACAGGGTTTATATACTCAAGTTTGCTGGGGGGGCGTTATTTAGCCAGTTTAAAGAAACAAACTTTTAAAACGATTTATAAAGTGAAATAGCACCTATTTGCATACCAATTCCAATTTATGCCCTGTTCTCAAAAGCAGGTCTGATGGTGCTTCTTTGTGGAAACAGTTTATTAGCAGTTAGTGTTTATGTCTCATAAAATTTTAAGATTTTCCTTTTCACTAAAATTCTTCGAACTCAGACATTTTTGGTAATTCACGCCTTCTCTCCACGTTCCCTAGAATGGGTAGATTTTACTGTGGTTGCACTCCATTTTTTTTATAATAACAATATGTATATTGATAATAGTGAACAGGAGCCAAGGGCGTGGGTAGGCTAAGAATAATTCCTTTCAGCTTTAAAGGATTTAAAAAAATCTTTCATTATTCAAGAGTTAAAACGTTCTGTATATATTTAAAACATCTTTCATCTTTCAGTCCCTCTTATAATTGGATTTTGTGATACATTTATGATACCTGGTAATCTGATGTTGTATATTTACAAATTGTCTGTCTTTTCCGCTAGAATATAAACTCTATGATAGCAGGGATTTCCATAGAAGCAGAGAACCTTCTGTGTATCGAGCACTGTGTTCCAGGTGGAGAAGACACCAGTGATCACCTCGTAGACCCTGGGGACTTGTGTTCACACACAAGGAAGCAGCCCCAGTCTTGTGCATTAAATGCTGTGATGGGGATATGGACAGAGTGTCATGGGAATGTTTAGGAGGGCACCTCACTGGCTTGGTGACAGTGAGGTGGTCACAGAAGTTTCTTCTACAGAGAGGACACTAGGTGAGGGGGTCGGGTGGTAAGGGGCAAAGGGGAGCAGAGTGGTAGAAGAACATTTTTGTTAACATGCTTTTTTGGTTTTGACAAAATGTGACTTTTTGTCCTCTAAAATTCTATGGCAGAGCTTCCAGGACTATAATAGGGGTTAAGGTGTTCTAAAGCAGAGGAACAAACCTTTTAGCAGGGGTGGCCTAGTGAGTTTAACCTCTGTAGGACTCCTGTAGAGGAGGCACTTCTGTGGGGAGAACAGGGACCTTTTTATGGAGGCAAGAGACACTGGCTCCCCTAACTCTGCTGATGGGTTTTACTCTGCTTTCTGAGAAGGAATAATACCATCC